GGACAACGCTTATTTCGAGCACTGAATAGTATGACAATCGTTCCCCTTCATAATATGTATTGATATTGTAGCGGTTCTCTTGCTCTTGCGACTGCCCGTGACCGTGTATTTCTACCGTATTCGTTATATAGTTAATTGTGTCTATGGGTACGTGTCACCACCGCGCGTTAAACTCGCCTACAAATTAGATCGATAGCTATATGATTGTGNTCTGCGCAACCACAAATACTACGTGCTGACGCCCGCCCTGTGCCTGCGTGCACAAAAACAACATGAATAAGAGAGCGAGGTAGGAAAGCGTGATCGCGAAATTCGCAGCTGCGACTAGGGGCAGCACGTCTCCCAAGTCCGAAAGGTGCTGAATTATTATTATTTATTTTTTTAGAATTAGAGATAGGGAGATAGGGTTTAGAGTTGGGGTTAACTGATTTCTATATCCACAACTTAATATATTTATACTAATAATGCGCCATCTAGCGGATCACTATCTCTCCCCTGGACCTACTGATTTCGGACTTGGAGACGCCGCTGCCGCTAGAGCATTCGAAATTCGCTTCGACGCTCGCTTCATTTCACACGATCACAGAATGAAAACACATCCAACAGCTCCCATCTTGGATCTATGTGTACATAAATGTTCACTTGTTCGAATTATAACTCTGCATGTCTTTGTTCTTACCTACTCCGCCAGAGATATCTCGTGAAATCCTGCAGGAAATTTCTCTCCGTGAAAATGTAAAGAGGACGTTATCACTCCAAAAATCCCTAACGCCACTACTTTCGATCGATCGCTGTAGTCGTGTGTGCGTGACGTCATTCCGCGCGCATTGTGCCTGGCTTGGCGGCGCTCGAAATGGAGCTCGGAAGCGGCAGCAGCTCATCCCGGCATGCAATGCGCCTCCATTACTCGTGTATAAACAGACATCTCGTCCTCTCTTCATTTTCACGGAGAGAACATTTCCTGCAGGATTTCAGAGATATCTCTGGCGGGAGGTAGGTAAGAACAAAGTCAGAGTTATAATTCGAACAAGTGAACATTATTTACACATAGATACCAAGATGGGAGCTGTTGGATGTGTTCTTCTGTGATCGTGGGAAATGAAGCGAGCGTCGAGCGATTTCGCGATCCGCTTTCCCACCTGCTCTCTTATTCATGTTGTTTGCACGCAGCACAGGCGCGGCGTGCGGTGTACTTGTGTGTTGCAAATGAGCATTTGACCGGCATTTACAGGTGATTATCTAGGCGAATAAAGTAGAGAAACATTAAGACTTTGGTACATTTCTGTTTATTTACCATTAATTTTTTTTATTGAGACGTTCTCAAGTGCCTGTGCCTAGGCCTACCTAGGCTTTCGGATGATTCGGATTTTCGGATGCGCTGGGATTTTCGGGTTTTACCGCGTTTTTCATTTTTGATTTAACACTGTATTTCCTTTGACTGTGTTACAGGAAAGCTAACCAAACTGACACATTCACTCTGCACCACCCTTACACGTTCAAATAGTATGAAAATCGTTCCCCTTCATAATAATGTATTGATATTGTAGCGGTTCTCTTGCTCTTGCTCTTGCAACTGCCCGTGACCGTGTATTTCTACTGTATTCGTTATAGTTAATTGTGTCTGCGTGTCACCGAGCTGCGCGGTAAACTCGCCTACAAATTAGATCGATAGCTATATGATTGTGCCGTGGTGTCAATACAGATCGAGTCAACGATAGAGAGTAGAAACATTTAGTTATTGGTAACGTAAGAGATATATCTTTAATTTAACATATAAATAATAAACAACATACAGGGACTCACTATTTACAACAGTTCACTCTATCGTCTAATTCATGCGGCTAGTTTACTTACTATTAGTGTTATCTATCTTTACAACTCCATAAGCCAAACTCCCAATCAAACTCTCTTTAGAACTCCCTATCGAACCTTCTCTCGAACTCTTTCTCCAACTTCTCTCTCGGAACCCCCTGATTTACGCTGTATTTATCTTATTATTGACAATGTTAAAGTGTAAACACAATCAGCTGTTCGTTTCTAGCTGTGACGTTGACGTCACCAACCAATCAAAAAAGACGATGACGTATATGGATGGACGAACATGGACGAGCGTGGACGAAACCTCACAATATATCACATTAATATTCTGCTTTATCAGGTCCATAGATTATTAGATTAGGTTATTACAGTTATGTCCTATTCCCAATATTGCCCACAGGTTACACTATGAAAACAGGGAAAAAACGGACATTTAGTGCATTTTCGTTTCAAATGCCAATGCACCGGTGGATTTTCACAAGTTTGTTATGATATCACTCGACAGTATACTAATTTTTCCAGTAAGAAATGTGACAACTCTTACACATGTGTGGGGTATGAACCTTGTTTTGTTTTTCTACATGTAAAAATACATTGAAATTTTATATACTACCAGGGTTCAACATTAACTTTTTATTTTACTAGACCATCGGGCTAGTAACTGAGGAAAACCACTAGCCCTGACCTAACTTTCACTAGACCATCGGGCTAGTAACTGAGGAAAACCACTAGCCCTGACCTAACTTTCACTAGCCCAGACCCAGACCATTGTTATGAAAAACTTTATTTAGATAAGAGTGTGTCATCGTATGAATTCATAGATGCTGTTTCCCGCGCTTTAAATCGCGCGTGGGCCGAGTTCACGTGCAGCATTCATATTCTACCACAGCTTTGATTCTACCACGGGCATGCACGAGCGCACGGTTTATCGATCGTCTACTGCGGCTGGCAGCAAGCCACGTTTATAGTCGTTATTGTTTTTGCCGAAAGGTAGACTGGTATCCGACCTCACGCTCTGCTAGACAATGTACACGCTCTGCGACAAACAGTGCGGCCGCGAACCAGTCTAGCCAGAGGTGACCTTTCAGTGCAATATATATATGACCAATTCTAACACGACCAGTCGGGCTACTAGCACTCTGGTTGTATGCGACCGGACCAAGCATTTACCCGACTAGGTCGGTCGGACGTGGGTTAGTGTCGAACCCTGACTACACAGTTACTATATTATATACCGTTAGGAAAACAGTAAACAAACCTTGTTTCGATCTACGCCTTCTAGTTTACCTTCTAGTTAAATTACGAATTTACCTTGAGTCTCAAAACTCATAATTTCACGTACGAATCAACGGTAGAGCATTGTATTCTTTAGTTCATATAAGACTGGGGTAATATAGACTGTCCCTGTTTAATTTATAGGTAGGTAGTGCCTGCCATCTGTTGGAAATCAGAGTAACAAAAACCAATAATCTATCCACCAGCTGACTCGTGGATCCACGGGGATGCGTTTTGATTGTTCCCACGAGCTGACTCGTGGATCCGCGGGGAACGTGTTAAGAGGGGGCCAAAAACAGCGAACTGCGCAAAATAGTAGATGACTGAATATTTTAATGGTTTCTCCGTCTCCCTCTCCACACCGGCCTACGTTTCCCCACCTCTCAGCTCTGCAATCTTTGTTTCAGGCGCCAATGCAGGGGCGTGTACAGGATTTGGACCAGGGGGGGGGTCTAACTGTAAGACATAATTGCGAGCACGCGAAGGGGGGGTCTGAGGGGTCAAAAATTTTGAAATTAGACCCCCTCAGATGCGAGTATTTTTGTAGAAACTAGCCGGGTACCCAGTGTTGCTCGGGGAAAAACGCTTAGGATAAACTTTTAGAGCAAATGCAGCCATAGATATTTACTTATGTGTATTACGCCTGTGTAATTTACGCCTGTGTAATATAATTGCCTATATTTTGCATATGCACCAGACATATAGCACTTTATTTACTGCGCGTTTATAGCATACTGCGTGTTATTTACTGCGTGTTTTTAGCATATTTATAAGCATTTATATTTTTTGTATGCATATTTTTGGACGTGTACTTGCCAAAGCTGCTTAAACATGATTGCATAGCTTACATAGGTGCACCGGTAGTCTGGTTCTTCCTCAGTTCCCGGTCCGCGTGGCTCGTATAGTCAATACCAGCTAGATAGCACCTAGCCTGGTAAACTGGATAGCTGTAAAAAATTAAAATTTGTAATATTGTTACCCTAATACTAGTTAAATGACAGAGCTATAATTGAGCATAAGTATACAATATGCCTTGCGTGAAGAAGGAAAAGTTGTAATGTAAATATTGATCATATAGAATGCATCATGTATAATACAATATATAATGTAATATCATGTACAATTGAGCATAAGTATTCAATATGCCTTGTGTGTGACGTGTAAAAATTTCTGCTCTACAAAAACGTTAAATGCTGTTACACTAGTTTACTTACGTAAATGCTAGTCGTTTGGGTGCATACATCAACACGTGACTGTTAAAATTTTCCAGAGCGCCAGTGTGTCTCTAAAGTAATAAATGATATGGCATGTTCCACAGATATAGTTGAACTCTCTGACCTGTTCCTCGATGCCAAGTATCTGAATTGTGTTTTGACTAATAGGGCCCAGATAACATGCAGAACAAAAATTTGTTTGCATACCTGAAGCGCACATAGTACGGGAGGGTGCGCATCATGTACCGGTCCAGCACTACGCGCTTTAAAGCTTCATAACTGGGTGAGGTTGCTTCCATCCACTGGAGACCTTCACTTGGCAAGTTGCCCTCGATGTCGGCGTGCATGCACTTGCCAGGGCCGCCGTCTCCAATCTTCCATTCGTGGATGCCGAGAACGTGCTGGAGACAACCCTACCAAGTACCCTGTAATTTTAACCATATATCCAAGCACGCATTGCCATTTAACCTGTATAAAATGTCGCCACCGTTTTTAGCACTGTAT